GAAGAACGCTCTGTTTTAAGAATTCAGCGTGAGACTCAGCTTTGAGGTTCATATTACCTCCAATTACACACTTGCCGTACCACCTAGTGACAATTATCACAACCACATCAGGCAATAAATAAACTATAATAACCAGATGAGGAAAAAAGATAAATAAGTCAGTGTTGGATTTGGAATGAGCCAATGAAAAGCAGCATTTAGGATCCTGGAGAGTCTGCAGATGCTCTGCTCGTATCACCACTGAGGTGCTCGACGCTATGTGCACAGTATGATATCAAGCTCACTGCTGGCACCACTGCCTATACCTGTGGAACAACTGTAGTACGAGGTAAAAACAGCACTATCCGAGACGCAAACAAGTGCGCTACACGAGTCTTGCAGCTGGTTTTGGCACCGTTTCAACATCAGCGCATTCGAGACAAGCAGCCAAGATCCTGCCAACTGTTGTGCAACGCCAGACAGCCACAATGTATTTAATAAGCCTTGACACTTAAATTGAAGGCCTTTTAAATTCTTCCTAATTTTAGTGTGACATGGGCGAGGCTTGTTTTATTCTTCATCTCGTTTGCATCTTAACTTTGAGCGTCTACACCGCAGGCTTCAGACCCAATCCTCTCCCATCTTCTTCTGCACGCGCTGAAGCAGTCGTGTCCATGCGCTGCCGATGTTGCTGAGGTGAAGCGAGTGCAGGTTATTCACCGGTCAGGATGAGACAGAGCGCTGCTGTCTGACACTGTCTGGATCTCGCAGCACGCTTTAAACAAAAGACAACGAACCTGCCCGACCAGAAACCCCTGAAACCTGCGCCTGTCAATCAATTAAGTCCAGACTGGTTGGGCGAGTGACTGCACACAGGTCAGTATCCAGTCAGCCCACTGTCTCTTCACTCGGCTCATTTAAAAAAGATAAATACAAACGTTTCAGTATTTAAGACAAAGCTCGTGATTTTATCTTTTAATCCAAAAGGAACTGGTTTCACTGGTTTACTACAGACACCTTTACACTCATGCACGTGTGCACTAATGGAAAGCAAAGAGTGAAGACTGGCCTCTATGCTAGTCATTCATAACCTCCAGATCGCCACAGCCCGTTTGGAAAGCTGAAAATCTTCTGCACACGCAGCTGACTCACAACTGTTCACGAGTTTGTGTTTCCAGATTCATTTCAATCTCATCCCCAGTTTGTTTCTTTTCAGGTTAACGCTCCATTAACGACTTTGTATCCTGCGCTGGTTTCGTTTTTCCTGCTACTGATGGGATCAAGAACAGGTCAGGATGCATCGTTTTTACCAAAATTAAAACTACTTTTTAAATCAACTGTTTGATGGCTCAATGTTACCTGTGCATTCGAGTTGATCATTTCATTTTCAGAATTGCTGGAAACTAAAATGGTAAATTAAATTAAAACACAGTTAATCAGCTTGTGCAAACATCCTCTGCTTTTCCTGCCAGCACCAGATGTTTAACCAGCTGCAGGGAGTGAGAAATTTACCAAAGTCCAACATGGATACGTCTGAGTTCAGGTTTCTTTGCAGGACAGTCAAGTTCTTCCACAGCAAAGTGGAAAAAGGATTTATTATTTATGGAAGTGCTTTTGGCCATTTCTTGTGTCTGCATGACTAAACTCCTGTGCACAAATTGTGGCCTCAAAGCTGGACTCACTCTTTCGTTCAGCTTCTTGATCTGGATGAACTCACTATTCTGTGATTTTACAGATGGCAGCAAAGATCAGCTTTCGTTTCAGCATTTTATCGCTGCGTGTGGAGCTGCTGGTGATGGATGGGAGCAGCTGAAAAGATCGTTTT